ATAATCCTGATGACTTGATGCTTTTTCAGCTAGTAATTGCGATGTGGCCACGCCGAGATGAATCATATTCTACAGAGCAAAACCAAAATTAAATTCGACGAATTTTTCAGCATTTTTAAATTCTTAAGTTCTTTATATATGTATATATGTATCATGAATCTCTCTTCTTTTATATTAAATACAATTTGATTAACTAATGTATCTCTCAAATGGAAATCAAATTTTGATATATTATTGAGATTGACTATCTTGACAGTCTGTTTACAATTTTATCGTTAGAGCTTTTTCTTCTTAAAAAGACTATATAATAAAACCATGACATATACTACTACAATGCGAAAATTCTATTTTAGAAATCTTAAAAAAGCTTAAAAAAACAAAGAAAGACACTTTAATATAATAAGAAAGTTGTCACAATTTTAGCACGACGGGAAACGCGTCGAATTTAATAACTCTTTCACAATCTTTAAACAATAATTTATTAACTAATAATTTTTTCTTTTGTCTTTTCAGACATGTGTAAAAAAAATGAAAACGCTGAAGAAATCTCAAAGAAACTCGGATACAGCAGGAAAACCTTGACGAGTTAACGCGGTTCTAACGCGGAAATCCCGACGTCGAATTTGACAGTCTGCGCGTCGCGCATAGTACCTGGCTGTTTGTTTTCAAACAAAGAGAGAGACAGTAGTAGTCACACACACGCGCAAAGTAATCAGCTGATTCGAGACGCTTCCCCGGTGGCGGGGGAATCGGCGAAGGCTTAAATAGCACCGCGTGCACCGCGTGCGGGCTAGTGTCGAAGTGGAGTCATCTGAAACGATTGCCGGTGATAGTCTTCAGGTATATCAAAATACCCAGGACTTTCCGCAAAGTTCTTGGAAATCGCGCAGGAAGTCGGCCGAAATTGCTGAAGTTCATTCGCGAGGATTTTTCGAGAGAGAGAGTCATCTCCAAATGAATCTTATCCGCGAAAATCTTGAAGAACTTGTGTCCTAATAAACGCCGAAGAAATTGAAAATCCGCATCTTTTCGCACCTGGATGATATTTGGAGAAGCGCGCTTTAGTACTGTTTGAATCAAATTTCTAATCCCAATATTCGATCTTTGATAGTGAAAGAATTCGCAGCGACGAATTAATATCCAGTGCAATATAAAAAGGATAACAATTTAGGTGAAGCTTATAAAATGTTCTCCTAGGGATTAAGAATCAAAAGGGATCGATAAAAATTACTCTACAAAGGTAAACTATTTTTCGACAAGTTTGCGAGAATCAGTGCTGATTTCGACGACAAAATCAACGACATTCGCGCGCTTTTCGCTGTAAATTGTAATAAGAAAGTGAGGAATCATGAAACCACCATACAACGAAGAACCTGTGCAGCAGATCTCGCAGGAGCAAGGCGAGAGAAATGTCGCGATGGCAGTCTGCGTACAGCTTGCCGGTCGCGCGATCATCAGGGTGGTTTCGCGATGTGAAGAGGCTCAGGATAACTGTAACTTAGGTGGGTCAAACAGTCACAAGAATGTCTAAAAGATATCCTAAATTTTATTCAAACATACAAAGGACGTTCTGGATCTTAGCAACTGTTTTAGATGACTAAAAAGCTTCTTGGATCTTGAACAAGTTCTTCCGACATTGAAAAAAAATGTCTTGAATTTTTAAAAAGATTTCTTTAAAAACTCAAAAATTTCTCTAGATCTCTAGAGATGTTTTAAACCATCTCTTTAATTTCTTGGCACTACAAGTTTCGTACGTAATGTTTGACAGAAAATTTTTAACTTGATAGATTTTTGACAAATACATTTAGCAATATCACGTAGCATTACCTTTGTCTAATTAAAGTTGTCCGAAAAGAATGCTTAATTATCTCATCAAGGTAGCTGCTTGTAAACATCGTGCATATGTCCAGTACTTCCTCATTCGAGATAACTACCACCTTTACCTTATCTGTAATATCATCTGCACGCACCGTGCAAAAAAAATTCTGAGATATACTTTATATAAAACAAAGTATATAATTACAAGGATAAATTAAAATAGGTCTGATATAATATAATTTATCATAATTAATTTCAAAATTAACCAAGAGTGTAGATTTATTTGTAAACTGAGCCGCGAGATCTTGCTGCATCAAATAATATAATTAAGATGACGCGAAGTTCCTATGAAGATGAGCTAAATGAGAACGGATAAATAAACAGGTGGCGTTTCTCGAGCATCAGCTCGGATAAAAGTGAAATGCTCGCTTCGTAACTCTCCGGCATAGATAATTGACTGGATAAACATTGCGTTACCCAACAGCACGCGTCCGGTCTTTGTCTCTTCGAGCATCGCGGAGCGGTAATCTTCGACTGGCTCGACTGGCCGCACGCGTGTATATCTTCGGGACACCCGATGCACACGCGAAAGGTCGATCTCGGAATAGTAAAGTGGAGCCTTGGCAATGCCGATCTGCGCATTCTGAATTCCGTCAAGAGGCTGCATCTATTCTTCGAGAGCCTTTTTATTATTTCATAGTCCCATATATCAAAAACGGGATGTGTATTGTGTGGCACGAATAGAGAGACAAAAAAAAAAAATACAATGTTAACGATAAATCTCCGCTAATACAAATCTTTTTGTTCAGTTTCTTGGTTCTAATTCAAGTTGAGTCATAAATTTTCTGGTTCCGTATAACCATGATGTGTTGCAGATTTACATGTACAATTGATAAAGCTGTTAGCAACATCTTTTTGTGCTCGAATATGATTTAACTTAACAAAGCTTGGGTCTATCATTGTTTGAAAAAATTGTTATTGTTAATTAGAAATTAATTAATCGCATTCTATCTTTCCATAATTTTTTTATTATAGGAATATTGCTATTAATTTTCAAATTTCCATTGAAATTAAAGTTTAAGTACAAAAACAATCCTTTAAAATTAGATTTAAAAAAATTAAAATTGAAATATTAAATTAGATTCAATATTTTAAATATTGCATTGAATAAGATAACAAAATAAATTATTATTATTACAAAAATGGTCCATTTTAACGGGTATCAGAGTCGAGACACTAACATAAGAATATGCGCGTTGCCTGCGAGAAAGGTCCTGTGCTAATCCTGAGATGCAAGATTTTTCTGAAGACGCAGGAACGCATCTACGACGCGAGAAGTTTCCGTATAGGGTCTCGCGACCTTAAACGGCAACTTGCTCTTTCTCTCTATCGGGCTTCTTTTATCACTTTGTGGAAAAAAAGTAGAAAATAATGATTCCATGCATATTAATTAACCGCGACGTTCGCGAGAGCAATAGTGAAAAGTAACTTTCATACTAATTTTATACAATATGACTTTCATACTAATTGCACAATCGTCGTTCGAGCATTTCATCCTTGTTTAATTTATTTATTATACGAGTTATATAAAATGTCTCGTAACAGAATATATTTCGAACTCAAGTACATGTTTTTGTGATTATTTGAAATTTAAAATAAAGTAAAAAATAAAAATAAATTTTTAAAAAAATAAAAGGAAACTTTTTCAGAACAAATCTAAACTTTTTTTTAGAAATTCAAATGATTTGATTGCTCCTTTAGATTTTTCATCGAGCTTGCATTCCCATATCTGAAGATTCCTGATAAAAAATACAATCACAAAGATTTTTAGATATTATATATAATTTCTAAAAAAGAAATTTTATTGAATCAAGGTTTAAAAATGCGAGGAGTAATCTCTCAGTCTCTCCTAAAACGACGTCATAACAAACAAATAACGATCCGATATCTATTTTCACATCTGTCATTTTGCCATATTATATTTTTTAAAAAATCATAAAAATTTTAGTTAGACAAAAATTGTTAAATATTTACGAAATGTGACATTTTAAATCCTTTATCTCTGAAATCGATATAAAATAGTATAAGACGCGCATTTTGTAGCGCGCTCATTCGCGTTTCCCCGATTTCTGCGGATTCTCTCGTCGATTTCTGAGGGAATGAGTCGCGACGACGACGGTCAGCCAGGTGGCGAGATTTATCTCGGAAAGCACGCACAGAAATAAATGTTTCCGACAAGCAGTCGGAGCCGTGAGTCAGTGCGGCGACGGGCTAGATGGCGAACGCCGTGACGAGAGTGATTTTGCGTTGCGAGGAGGCGCAGGAGAACGAGAATCTCGGTAAATTGCGGGATTCGGTGAAAGCGTGGATTTTTTTTTTATTTTCTATTAAAATTTGGCAAGAAGAATTATTTAATACACGACGAATTAATCGAATAAAATATGCCAAGTTTCCGCGTATGTACTTTCGTAATTCGTTTCGCGTTCGTGCGCGGCCATCAGGAATTACGAAAATTACGAGCAGTGTGGCACAATAGTCTCAATCTGAAGAAATTTGTGGTTGCACGATCCTTTCACGTCAAGTTTACAAGTTCCAATTTTCACATGTCCTTCCTTCGCTGAACTAATGCATGTAGTGGTCTTTTAATGACCTTCTCTCACCTCTTAAATATTAAATACAATTGATTAGTTATTACACTGTAATAAAACTGTATAAGAAATATGGAAAAAAGATCCTTGCTTTTATAACAAATCTCTCCAGATTTGTTGATAATTTTCCTTTCTTATTATAATTTTTATTATAAATTAAACTATGCAATAATTTCTCACACATCATGTACGTACACACAGAAAAATATTATACATAGTATATTCAAATGAAAGAGAAAGAATATTATTTGTTTCAGATATTTTATAAGTTTTATATATATTAGTTATATAAGGTTATATAAGATCATATAAGATTATATAAGATTATATATATATATCAGTTTATATATATTAGTAAAAATATATTAAATTAAAATACAAATTTCATTTGCTTGCTATATACACATATATATAGAGTTGACAGAAGGAAATTACACATTTAAATAAAAGTAAACTGAGTAATTATCCTTTTTAGCAGTAGAATGATATTTTTCTGCGTGTAAAAAATAGGAAATGAAATATTATTCTTTCCTTACTTATTCTGACTTGTGTTATAAAATCGTGCTCGTTGACTTCTTTTTGCTTTGGGAAGGATTAACAAATTTATATGTTTATTCATTGGGTCAGCAAATCACAATTCCGCTATTCATTATTTTCCCGGAACTGTGCGCCTCATAGTTATTAATGTGAATGATTGATAAATATATAACGCGAAATATACGTTTGTTCCGTAACACGTTCTCGGCTCCCGCGATCGAGTTAAAGTCAGTGTCGACAGTCTTCCGCACTGAAAACCGCGTTGGAGAAAGCGTGAAACGCAGCGCGGCCGACGTTAAGTAGCACTTTCAGCCCATCATGGACACGATGCACCGTGACTAGTGTTGTTCCGCGTCTTTTTTTTAGATGCTAGAACTTTTACAGTTTCATTATTAAGGTTCGATTGATGCTGTCGATATCTAAGCACAGAGAAATCATGCCATTTCAATTTACTTTGAATCATATAAAAAGTTTTTATCTTTTATTCTGTCAGTTTATGAAATATAAAATGTTCAGGGAATTAAATATTCGTTTTATATATAAAAAAGCAGCTTTGTGCCGTTTCTACTTGATTCGAGGAGTAGAAATCGTGCAATATACTTCTACTATGCTAGAAAATGCAAGATCGGACTCTGTGGAATAAATAATTTTTTATTCTATCTTTTTAAAAATTCAAAGTATGTTACTGAAATTAATTAATTTTGTTATAAATCTTGAATAAAATTCCGGCAAAAATTTATAATTGTATACATTTTGAATAACATTAATTTTAATGATTAAGTTTTAATTGTGTATTTATATTTATATTTATTTTTTTGTTTTTTTGAGATTTCATCTTCTTCCATTTTACATTTTAGACTTGTCAGAGTGCCAGCTGATGCAAATTCCGGACGCTGTCTATCATTTAATGCGACACACGGAGCTGAAGAGATGCGACCTTTCCGGAAACGTGATCACAAAGATCCCAGCAAAGTTCGCCGTAAAGTTCTCGCTAATTACCGGTGAGTGATTAGCTGCACAGGATAATCTCGTTATGCCGTTCATCTCTTGTAAGTCTTACTTTTGCAAAATTTGCGCTTTGACGTTCTCGGTGAGAAACATTCGCGGTAAACTGCTCGTTGCTCAACAAGACATTTGTTGTACGCATTGTTCGCAGAACTAAATTTGAGTCACAACCAAATGAGCAAGCTGCCGGAGGAGCTGGCCGAGCTGCAGGCGCTGGAGAGACTCGACATCTCGCACAACACTTTCATCGCTCTACCACCTGTCGCTTGGCGGATACCGCAGCTCAAACGGCTCCTCGCCAACAACAATTTTATTATCGGTCAGTATCGATAAATTTATCATTACGTAAGAGATCATCATCGAATATCATCAAACCATTAGCAGATCTCATGACGCATAAATCATTCCATGAGAAAGAAGCGCCGATTTATATATTTATATATTACGGTCCATCAGAAGCATATCAGGAGCATTAGAAACCTCTCGATTTGCTATAATTGAGCGCGAATAAATTCAATTTCTAATGCTACAGATAGACGAGAAAGGATTAAAACGTAAAAGAAGGGATTTCCAGAATTCCCTGAACCTATGGATTTTTTTAATCTCATGTTAAATATATCTCGTTGATTTCGCAGACGTCGACGTCGAGAGGCTCAGGCACGCGCCCGTCCTGGAATTGATCGACTTGCAGGCAAACCCGTTACCTTCTAGATTGCACGACCTCCTGCGCACTCTGACTGGAATCAGAATCGAGCTTAGTCCTCGGCAGATCGAGGATTGGGAAGACTTGAACGTCTAAATCGTCTCCCGCGCGAGAGTAGCCCGTTTCGCGGATGCTGACGACCTCATCCTCTCTCGACGAAGATTGCTCAAGAGACTTCGCCAGCTAGAAATAGAATCGATATATTTTGTACAGGGTGATGTACTGAGTGATAACGGGTACGGATCGTCAATCGTAGCGATCCGATTGTACTTTTTGTAAACTAGCGATTTATATTTAATTATCGTGGATCAGTTGTATCGATCTCGTGATCGAGATCGATCGATTCTTCTGTGTTTCTTTTATACCGCATGGATTTCTAGATTTTATCGCGATACGAGCCACGAGCGACTCTATTGTGATGCTTAGATATATATTTTAATCATTGATTCAACGATTCTTGAATTCTTGGACTTTGGATTACGTGGAGATCAGAGTATCGGTAGCTTCGAATTTTTTTGAACGTCAAATTTCTTCTGGTTTGCTCGAATCCTTGAATTTTCATTTAATCCATTACATATTTAGTATGCGATCTGTAAAAATTGAATTCTCGGAGCTTAAAATTTAAAGAAATACTTAAGTTAAGTAACACACCTAGAATTTTTTGGGATTCTCTGAAAATTGTGATTTCTCTGAAATGTATCATTTGTCATGAATACAAATTGTATTGACTGTAATTTTTATGTAACTCGTATCCGTCGACGATTTACGGACAATTTACCGCTATAAACTGCCGATTTATGTATACACATTGCATAATGCAATCTTTCTAACACAATATTTTACACTCGAGCGTCATATATAATATAATAGGGAAGATGTCATAATTTTGCATGTGCTTTGATATTATTGCATATATTCATAAAGTATATAACGAAATACTGCACAAATGAAAATTGGGTGCTTTTTCACAAACATTATGTTCTAAGAACATATTTAACGTTTTATATATATTCATAACTCGAGCATAAGAAGATTAATATCTCACGTATTGATGACGTTCGAATAGAAAATCAGATTTTATATATATCTCCCGCGAGTACAAAGGTGTTAATAACGACGGAATAACAAGAATGACAGAAGTACGATTAAGTAGCTGTAAGTAACGTTTGGATACTGGGTGTCTCATGAAGAAACATAGATTTGCAAATGATCCCGCGAAATTGCACGGATTTTGCGTATGTAACAACGTGCATACCAAATAGCATATTTAAAATAATAAACTTATTTTATTCTCTCTGTACTTTTGATCTAGTCAATTTCTTGTTGAATAAACAAATCTCAAGATTCTCAGACACATAGTTTTGTCGATACTCGAATTTATCTATAGCATCCTGAATAATTTCACGAATTTTTTGAATCTATGAATCCTTGATTTCCAAGACTTTTAATTGCGAAAACGTAATCCATAAAACTATTGTGTCCTTAAATCTATAGTTTTATACATTCTCAGATCTATAGAAATTTGAACAGTATGAGACATCGTAATACAACAGCACGAAAAGCACGAGAGCGCATTTTTTAAATCGTATTTCGCAGGATCTGTTCCTAGTCTATGTATCCTAATTACCATTATTATTATATTGCAATTTGTATTCTAAGTCATAATTGTATTCACACGAAAAGAAAACTCGGATTGCGAGTCGAAGAATTATCGGCACTAAATTTTATGCTTATTCAATATTTTATCGCAATGCTTGATATATAAAGTGTTATAAATTTTTTTGTACGATGTATGTATATCATAATTATATGTATAATTTTGATAAAATAGAAATTGTGCAATGCTTTCAGATAAAGGATTTTAGTCAGAGATAAACGATTTTAGAGTCGCGTATAAATTTATGACATTCTGTATTATATATACGAAATAAACGACCGAAAAAAAGAGAGCTAATTTTGATATACCGTATATATGTCACATACGATGTAAAAACGATTTATTAATAGAGAACGTAAGTGGTACACGCATTTATAGAACGACGGTCGATGCTACCTTGATTCATTGAAATAGACCATGTGTATACAGAGTGTGTCTCGAAAAACATGCAAAATATAATTTTTTTGCAATTTAAGTCGGAACGAGTATCTAATAAAATAATATCAAAATTACTATTTTATCTATATATTTTTTATTTTGTACTTTGAATAAACTTTTTGCCTTGTAACTCCGATTGCATTAATTAATGTTATACTTAATATTTAATTAAAATTCTTCTCTTTTACAAAGTTAAATTAGTTTCATTATATAAACATAGAGTATATCCTTAATTAAAAAATTTTACAAAACATATATTTCCCTCATTATAACTAAATGTACTCATCTAACCATACGTTACCGTTAATGTTTCAGTTTCAACTTTCCAAATACTAATTCGATTTATTACGATGACGAACGTTAATTAATATGGTACGACAATCGTTCGAAACTTTGTTGAAGTATACAAAAATATCGATGTATCTCGTACAAATAGGAATATTATATTCGTAGTTTAATAATTATTATCAATTTTATACATTTTTTAATTTTTATATAGTAATAAAATCGTAAAAACTATTTACGAAACAAGATGCAACTCTCTCTGAAACGAGATTATTCGAATATTTTAAGCATACATTTTCTACAAGAAAAATCTTAATAAAGCTATAAGAAAGGATTGTGGATGCAAAAGGCGCAAATATTAGCCACAAACGTATCTGAAACAGATATATTGATTTAGTACCTGTATTTTTTCAATAGTAATAATAATAATGATAATAATAGTAATAATAATAAATTGTTCGCGAATAGAAAAAAAATCACAAAATATACATAGAACGAACACGAAGTTAAACGTCGAGGCGCACATATGACCCGTTATTTTATCTTAACATAATCGCCGAACAGTTCCCTTATTTTCGCTGTTAACGAAGCGGAAGCAGCAACCGCGATAAAGAACGGGGCAGAAATGCATGAGATGATTCAAGTAGACGATCGATCATATTTATACGTGTACTTGCATATATCTGGCTATAATGAAGCTACGCCTTCCCTCTCTGTGATGATCAAATATAATATTTATATATATATAATATATACATGTACATTCAAAATGCGCGAGAAAATACGGCTATACGATTCCCCGGATTTCGTAAAATTAGGACAAGTTCTCGCAATCGCACATTCTTTGCAACTTTCTTCTCGAGGATAACATCTCCAGGATAAATCTCAAGGTTCAGTTTTCTTTTACAGATACTCTATTCCACTTCGGCAGTATCTGATATGGTAAAGAAATGTCGTAATAACGATAGAACGACAAGTTGACGTGATATTATATCCTTCGATAATCCAAAATATTATAAAATTGCGTCAATTTGTCGCTATAGTTTTTGCAAACGACAATTTTTTAAAAATAATTTTATAGAATTGTAACAAACACACATCAGCTGCAATATACCTGGAGTCTTCGATCTCTGTTCGCAACAGAAACGAAGCCCTCCCCCGTCCGCTTTAATGTCGATTCTAGCACTCTCGTTCTCTCGCGCTTCCATATATCCCTGGCGATATTTACATAAATCTATCGCTAATTAAATTCACATTCAGGCAATTTTTTAAACGCGGTATATTATCGATCTACTGGGACGACCCACTTTTCGCTAAATCAATGTTATACGTCTCAAACGTCTTTTTTCGTTGGTTTTCGGTTATACATGCTTTTAAATCAGTCAATCTTCCATCTATAGATGTTTGAATTCAAAGATTTATGAATTGACGAATCTTATCAAGAAGATTCTTTAAAAAATCCCAATTTCGTAAATTCTGGCGTATTTTAGATATCTAAATTTAATCTTTTATTTCTTATAGGTATCTCAAATTCTAGATTCTCAGTCATAAATTCACGTATCGTTGAACCGAAAATCTTTCAGAAATCCTGATTTCAAAATTAGAGATACATATGGAGATATTGCGATTATATAAATCGTTTATTTCATAGAATTTCATTTATTATATGAATGTTGGCTTTTATTACTTTTACCATTCTTAAATTCCTCTGATATCACAATTTCGAAAACTTCTTTCATAATTCTCCTTACGTGAATTCTTGGAAATTTTGATTACGAGTAGATTTCTCAGTTTTGCTTAGCTCGCACGGCTATGACGAAACTTGAGCGAAGATCAATCTCGTGTTCCTTCAGTGTGACAGTGAGTCGTGAAACAGTTGGTTGTCTCTTACGATGAAAAGAATGATAAAACACTTCTCTCGGTGCAACAACGGTTACAATAGTCATGATTAATTTACGAGTGACGAGTAGGCGAGACGCGCAATTATTATTACTAAGACGGTTACTTTCTTTAACGAGGTTGTTAAATGTTTCGCTCGTGTATAGCTACATGAAAAGGGAACACGACGTCTCGAAAAGTCGCGATCGTCCATTGACATTGAAGAGACCATCTTCAGAAGACTTGGCGATTTAATCTTCAAGCAGCCGCCAATTGACTGAAGCGATATCCGAAAACTATCATAAGTGTTTTCAGTTCAGATAGAGAAGTCGTCTTTTATAGTCTCTAACCAGAATATTGCACTATATAATTTTCGTCACTCGGTCGATTCATTAGCGATTTTAAATAAAATAATCTAATAATTAAGTTGTTTTACTCACTTAATTCCACTCGTGCATCTGCTCAAGGATTGAGCAGTCTCACAATGGTGTACAACTGAATTTATATATGATTGAACATAACGCTATCATACAGATATATAAATTCGACCCTTACCTGGATTCTGTTTCCTGCCGTAAATTGACTTTGGGGCCACCGCAAGCCCTTCGTACAAGACTATTATTTTAAAATTAAAAAAAAAAAAGATTTATTTACACAGTAAAACGTAGTACACAGTCTGCGCGAGATACAGTATTTCTAAATAAAAACTTTCGAGATTAATAATAATAATTATTATATCGTTAATTAATAACTTTGACACGTCTGAACCGAGCGTAAAGAGATGCAGAGCCATCGCGGCCCTTCTCGCGCGCAAAGTTTCTTCCCGCGATAAATAATAATATAGGCGTATTCACGCGCGATATTTAAGCATTCGTAATTATTAATTAATAGTTAACAGCCATTAATATCAATTTAGAATTTCTAAATTCGGGAAAGGCTGAAGAGCCGCCGCGATCCCTCATGATGAAGTCGCACGATCAGGACGAGAGTAACTTTAAATAATACATTCGCTATCAATAAACCTACCTATTCAACAAATAGTCGCTAGAGTATAATTATTATTTAACAAACTATTATTATTAATAGCTTCGTACACACATGAGAAAGGGCCGCGGCATCCTAAATAAATCCGGATAAGGGCGAAATTTTTTCTTAAAAACCTATAAAGCCCGAGAATGAGCACGATTCTAACGTTATTGCGCTTAGATTGATTGATCACAAAGCGGGGCGTATTTGTTCGCATCATATCGTTCTTTCGTTCCTTTCCGATCGATCGGTCGATCGATCGATCGAATAGGAATCCTCGAAAAAAAAACTATGTTGAAGGTAATTTATGCAACATTCGGCCGTGATTTTGCCAAGAACATTGGCACGTGATAATTCGTTTCGGCGGATCCTGGGGTTCTATCAGATCGCAAATCTTGGGCCGCGATTCACTGAAATATCTTTCTCGTCGACGTCATACTTGTTTGCAAACATCCACGATATTTGACTCCCACGTTTCAATTCCAAAATTTGCGAGTCCTTGAATACATATTTTTTCTCAAATTTAAGAATCCTTCAATCTTTCCTTTTTATTCGTCTATCGATTAGGCCTGCGATCCGCTGTTGACGTCCTCGTATCCCGTGCCAATTTGACCAACACAGACCCTCGAGTCTTTGACGGCACTGAACGCGTGCGCGCGCGCGCCTTCGTTAATAATCTCCTTCGTAATAGTTTCGCGTTGCGTAATTCCTTTAACAACTTAGGAGAAGTGGCTAAGTGTTGTACAGGTGACACTCTATGTATGAGGTCGGCACGAAGCCTTCGATTGGCTGCGAAATGCGTCGCACTCTAGTCCATCCGTCTCCCTGGTCCAACTCGATCATATAGAGCTCCTCGCCGTCGTACATCGGTATGGAACCCTCGCTAGTCGCTGTAAATGATAATTCGTTATTAGTTAACAATTATGATAAAGACAAAATAACTTTTTTTTTCTCTGTCTCTTTGAAACTTTTAATGTTACATTCTTAAATCAATTTTTATATATACGGAGATTTAGATTTAGATTTATATGCATATAGACAGTGTCTACTCTACTAAGAACAAAATTATCAGAAACAATTTTTTTTTTTAAATTTCCCGTTTCTCAATAAAATTCTATGAGAATTTCCTAGGTACAAAACATGTTTTTTCAGCGAGTAGACAATCTGTTATATAGAATTATTATAGAAAAAGATAGATGATGTTAATATTTAATCATAGATTTGGTTCATAGATCTCACCGTCGAAAGGATAAAGCGCCCGACATGTTCCCAGTGGCGGTTGAGCATCTACCTCGTCGTGGTAATATTCCTCGCAACCGCTGCCGGGTAGCGACGTTCTCGATTCGCCGAGACCAGATTCCGGGCTATTCGTGGAACTGTGCATCAGTACCGTAAAGCGAAAACCGTGGCTATTCGTCTAGTGTAAAGTGTCTAATCTACTCAAACTAAACGTTTTCGCGGAATGGGAAAAGAAGGGGGAAAAAAGAGAAAAAAGACGACTAGATCACGATGTCTGATTTGAACAAACGCGAGTGTGATAAAACTTCATTTGTCGCATTAATTATTTGATATAGGTAAAACGACGATAACTCACATTGTAACAGCTTTGTTATCTCCGTTATTTATGTTCATTAGTTCCGATAAGATAAGAGCGATTAAATAAAAGCTGAAGACATTAGATATTTCTAAACATGGATTTGTAGACGCGAGTTATAAAATGAAGCTTTTATGAAAGAATAATAGAATATATAACGTATGTGTTATGTGTATGTGTGTGTGTATGTGTGTGTACACAGCATAATAATGAATAATGATAAAATATCAGATATTTGTGATAAAACGATAGAAACAATGATAAAACACTAATTTATCAATTTATAAAAATCTGCGAATTTTAAAAGTTCCGAGATTTTGATAATGTTTTGATGATTCTCTGTGCGTTATCCCATTTCGTATATTACCAAGATGACTTACCCATGAGTCGGTTGTGGTGTGCCTGGTGCGCTCTTCTTGTGAACCGGTTGATTTGCGTTCGCGTTACAGACACTCGAATCAGAAGCGGATCTCGAAAGGCTCTCTTCGCCGCCCGAGTGTGAACCCCTTCGTGAACTCAACGGTCTCGTCGCCGAACCGTTAGTAGCAGTTTTTCGCGCTGCCTGGCTTGGGCTGAAAGTACAAAGTAAATGGCGATTTTTTTAAATTTCTTTATCTCTTTGATGATTTTTGTGATAAAATATTGTACAATAATGTAAAAAAGACATATTCTATATTAATTATACAAAATAATTATGCATTTGAACATATTTAAGCGTAATAAAACGAGTCGCATATAGAGATAGTTAGGTAAACAGCGAATCGATGCATAGTCGTATCCTTTCACAGTTTCAGGAAAGCTCCATTTACCTAGACAAACTGACGCCAGCACGCATCGCTTCCTCGAGGTAACCTTGAAACTTTGTCAATTCAGCTCCGAGTTTGTCCAGTTTGTTGCTGGACTGGTTCAATTGTCCCTCTATGCTCATTGGATCTCCGAGGGCAGGATTCTGTTCGTACACGCCCTTCATCTTCATCAGGCCGTCTCTCGCCGCCGTTTCCTGCTGGATCTTCGCCTGGATCTCGTCCAGTCGTTGCTGCAGTCGCTTTTTCCGTTGATTCGGCGGCAGATCGCTGCAGTCCTCCTTCGCGCCGTCACCATAGCCAGGCACATTATTCTGGAATTTCTTACAATAAATCTCGATTCCTCTGAAGAGTTATTTAACTAATATATATAATTTCCTGAGACCCGAGACTTTCTTTTCGCAGCCAAATTCTTTACTATATCATCACATTAATTGTCAAAGTATCAAATTAATTAATACAACAATTAATAGTTTAGCGTAAATTTTCTTGAAAAAATCAATGATTCAAACAAAGACATGATTCTAAAATTAATTTTAATAATTTACTTAATTTTGACTTATGTATTAAATGTATTAAATTACACAACATATATAATAACAACTGTAACGCACGGAGAAACGCTTTGTAAAATTATATTTAATTATAATGTGAGTATATATATATACATTGTATGATCTGGGTCCCAAGAAGGTAACAGAAGAAAAGATAAGAAAGCTTGGGAACACATTTTGTTGCAGAAGCAACGCGTTTCGTTAAATATCTGCGATCTTGTTAGTGAAAGCTAGCGTATACAAATTTATACGATTGATGAACAACTTCAATATTCAATATCGTTCATTATTTTAAGCAATAATGGAGAAGATGAATAAAATGTATTCTCTGCTATAACAAAAAAAGTAATAACGTTTAAAAGCTAACCCTTTTGGTGCTAGATTTGGGATAATTAGTAAATAATTAAAATTTAATATGATTGTAACATTAGAATTCTCTCGAGAGAATTTGGCGGATTTATAAATTCTTGATTTTATGAAAATTAAATTTTATAGTTCCTAAATTTCATAAAATTCTTGAAACTCCGATTTCGCAAACATTAATTAAATTAATTATTATTTGCTTAATTAGATTTGGCAGCTGTAAAAATTTTCTCAATTTAATTTTCTACGAAATATAATTAAATTGACGATTAATACAATTCTACTCTTATAAAGAAGCAATCACACTATGTCATCTATTTACTACTGTATATAAAGGATAAAGAAGACGAGCAAGTTGAGCACTTGTAAGCGTTCAGCAAAGCACCAAAAGGATTAATCGGAAAGTGACTTGGCCATTGAATAAAGAAGGACAGACCTTTAAAGCTATGCACACCTCGATCAACTTCTGCTGTTCGCATGAAACAAATCCCAAAAGCGTATCATTCAGCGAATGAGTCAGGACGCACTTTCAGCAGTAGCAGGAGCGTGAGCTCAGAGAACGTCATTTCGGAAACGTTAAACATAAACAGTATAAGATATTTTACTTACGTCACAATATATAAAAAGAGCTGAAGGAGAGACGCATTTATTATCATCTCGCATTTAACAAATCTAATTGTAAGTTTCTGAAGCTGCAGATATATATTTAATAATTTTAATATTATATTAATAATTTGATTTTAATACAATATTAATTAAAAATTATTCTCTCTCACTCTTTCACAAATTAAGATTTAATTTAAATACGTTACAAATTATTCTGTTGATCCATAAATCTTACGATTTACAGTTCCTTAAAATCATAAATTCTCAAAAAATTTTAGAAATTATTTTCATATTAAATTTTAGCTTAAATTTCTATTTTACATAAAATGTAATTTAATTTAGTTAGACAATAAAATTTTATTAATCCTATAATAGTTTGCAAGTATTATAGTTAATTACAATCTTATACTGATTAGAATTAATGCAACTGCTGAGTTCACGCTCTTTTAACAAGACATTTTAACGTCGCATATAATTTATCTTCAAAAGAGAAAGGCAGGTAAGTAATCGATATTATATACATAATTACGAGCGAACAAGCGATCTACGGAGTACTTACTAAACGTGATAATATCCCAATTCATAGCCCGTGATGTTTGGAAACAAGAAGACCACGGGCAGATTGAACCATCCACCAAATTAATAGAAAGTATACAAGAAAAATAAATTACGCGTTTTTCGTTATGAGAAATCGAGAAAATAATTGCAAATTGTAGTCGGAAAGTATCGAATGTACGAAAATAGAAAGGAAAAAAGAAAAGATACAATTGAATTCAATTCATCGCGATTTTCTTATACCTTAGAATTTATTAAAAATCTCAAAAACCATTACTTATATTTATATATCTATAAATTTAAGTAAATTCGAAAAAATATTTCGATTCTCAGAATATAGAAATTTAAAATCAAGACAACTATAAATATTTAAAATAAATCATATAATAAATATATTATTTTTTATTTTCTTTTTTATATTACCAGGAGGTGAGCACAAGGTATTTCCTCACCTTGATTGAGCCTTAACTATAATTTTCAAAATTGTCTTATCAGCAAGCTTATATTATTAGATATGAGTTTGTTTCAATATAGAAGTGTTTTCGACGAAGAGAATTCTATTATATCGCAAAGCGCATAGAAAGTATACAGAGGCGAAACCGCTTTAAACAGTAATTTAAAAATTGCTTCGAGTAATCGTAAATCATAAATAACAGTACATAAAACGTATCTGAAAAGTCGCTCGTAAATAACGTTACTATAGCCGATCAGAAAAATGCGAAATCTACTAATATACATGCGCAATAGAAATTTGAATGCGTAAAATAAGTTGCAGGCCTGTCGGCGAATAAAGAAGTGCACAAGTATATATACATAAATAAAGAGATGAAATCAAATAATAGAAAAATACGACGGACTTGAAAGAATTTTCGTGCATGCTATAAAAAATATTCTGCAATATTCCCTGTTTATCCTTTCCTTCTCGCGCGAATGCAATGAATAGGTAGATTATATTAGTTCTTTTTTGGAGTCGTACAAATTCTAGACTTCCAGAATTGTAAAAATAATCGTAAATTATTTCTTATGATACTAGAAAAAATTACTAGATGTTTATGTAATCTATGGGGGAAAAAAAATGTAGACCAGACTCCACGACTTCAGAACTAAAAAATAATACGTGCATAGGGTGTTCGAAAATGCTTATCTTAATAGAGATTTATAATTCAAATGATTAATAATCGTGCGCATGTTGTCGCGAGGGTACAATTTACCTTGCATTTAATAAAAAGATTAGATGGATCGTTAAGAAAGAGTTCGCGAGATACATAATCGCTGATCATTAATTATCTTTCAGAAATCTCAATAAATTTAAAGACGTTTCAGCCTGTCTCACTATATTCTTTCTATCTTTATAGGACATCCTATGTCACGAGAACGCTGCACCAACAGCACCGGAGAGCTCGCAATGCAGAACATGGAGGGATAGCTACCTTATTACTGCTGAAGATCCCAAAGAGACCGACTCTTTTCTTGATCTTGCCGCCGGAGACGGTGCCCTTGACCGTAAGATGATTGTGAATCGGCTGCATGACCGGCTGGGCCAATTGGCTGTTGCTATCGTAATTCTTAGCGACCGATAGATCCTCGAAGGGGAAATCCCCGGGCGGCTGAAAGCCGCTCTTGTAGCGTTCAATCACCAGCATCGTGTCCTCTTTCTCGTTGATCTCATTCGCCGCCTTCTCGATGCCGTCCAGGCACTGAGCGATTATTGGCGCTACCGCCCGCTCGATTTCCACTGACTTCATCATGTAGTTCCGCATATTTTTTATCCTCTTCTCGTCCAACTCCTACGGCAAAAATACGATCTATATAGGGTGAGAATCAATTGCGAGAAATACGAGAATCAATAAAGACAAATAGAACATTGAGCTGAGTGGCGGAACACTGCGATAATTTTCTCCTAATAAAAGAATTAATTATATCAATTTATTAAATAAATGTATTAATAAATTTGTCATTAAATCACATTCAAAAATTAAGAACGTTTTAAAATAAAAATCTATATAAATTTAATTGAGAAAGGTGAAGCCTCGCGCGATTGCTTAGCACTCTAGAGAAAACGAAAAACAAAATCAGAACAATTTTAAATAATTCATAATTTTAAAAAAATTAATAATGTCTTATAATTGAAAAACCTATAATTTTCAAGCTTGTCAAATATATAATTACTTTTTCGAACCTTCCTTTGACTATAATAAAAAGTGTTTTTGAAACATTCCTTATACAACAATAAAGAATATTTTTTTTAAATAATTAATATTGTATAAAATACGGATAAAATATCATAAAGCGAAAAACGCGGACGCAATTGCATACAGTTATGACAAAACAGTACCTGAAGATGCTGAAACACTTCCGGCATCGCCGTGTGGTAGTGCAACGTCTGCATGTCATTCGTTTTTTGCAGCTGATTCGCGTACTCCGTTTTCGCCTCCTCGCTCTGCTGGGTCTTCATGGTCATATTCATCCTCTGTTTCTCGACCTGATCATTGCAAAAGAATCGATTATTATCGAGCGTATAAAAAATCTTCAATTATTAAAATTAAAAAAATTTTTAAATATAATTATACTATATTTAATATAATTTTATTATAACACATTTCAACCTATCGTTGGAAAAACTGCTCAAAATTTCATATATATTCTCTCGCTATCAAAATTATTATTAAACTCTTCATTTCAATCGCCGTATCTAATCGAAGCTGGAATTCCTCCAAAAGTAAAATCTACTTTACGAGGAAAAGCTATGAAGAGGAGCCTTATCGCGTAACGACAGAAACTTATCACGTACTTCTGCTCTTGAGAGATTGAGATCCGCGTCTGCTCGCTGATAATTTTCCACAGCGCGCTCCGCTTCGCGGAAGGCTTTCTCGTAGGCCTTCCTGGCCCGCTCCAGATTCCCGATCTGACCGGCCAGGGTGGCCATCAGCCGCGCGCCCTCCTGTAGATGTTTCTTGCGGTCTTCTTTGAAGTCCTTCACTAAAATGTTGAGCTCCCGCAGAACGTTACCCTGGAGGTTCTCCGCGATCACCTCCCGCTGACCGGCTTGGTCGTTCACCTCGTTTAGCTCCATCTTGAACGCCCGGCAAGGACTGTACCTGAGGAAACGCAAGTTCCGTTCTCCTTCTCGTCTTTCTGATTTCATAAATCTCTCTCATTTTTTATTCTAATTTTTATTAAATTGATTACTTATTTTCTTGATTTTGTCTTACATTGTGTTTATTAAATAATTGGCTTCCTGCCATTTTTTAATCACTAGATTTTCCATTATTACTTAACATGCCAAGATATGTTCATTTAGCTATCTTACACGATTTGCATTTCATGTATATGTAAACGACTGTCTTAATTATAGATAAACTGAATAGATAACATTGCCCAATTTAACATAATAGCGTTTCTTCGTTAACTGAATATAATCGTTGCGTATAGAAGAAAAATAATTCCCGATCCAAATCGCCAACGCAGATTTGATTTCGCAGAACGCCGAGGAGCTTAAATCTTTACTCACACGCTGATTAATGTACTTGACTGAAAGAGATCTCTCTTGCAAAATTATTGAACTTATAAAATATCTCACACACACCCACGCCGCGAGATAATCAAGCTGCTCCTGTCCTTTATCAGGGTCCGCAGAACGCATTGTCAGAGAAGAAAAAAATTTTACGCAACAAAAAAATTTCGTTGCTATGTACAAAATTCGTTTTATTACTTTAATCCCCCGATTTTGCTTCAATTAATCTCTTATTTTAACCTTGACCTAACCACGCTCTTATGCGCGCTTAATTATACGCGCGCTTAATTATTCGCGTGATGCGCCAAGTCAGAAAATTAATCACGGTTCCGCGGAACTCATAAAATTAAAAATCTGCAAAAGTTTCGTATAGGAAATAATCACATGATATTTTGTTTTAATAAAAGTGAAATATCTAAAGGTTCGTTTTAATAAATTTTTATTTGAATTGTATTTGGAAATGTGGCAAACCCAGAAGCTTAATGTTGTATATACAAGAAATATATTATTATATTGTAAGAGGCGTGATTTTAAAAAATCTAAATCACTCCATATACACTGATTTATGCCAATGCGTGTTTTGAAGGAGTCAATTACCTTAGCAAAAGATATTACGTTTTTATATATCATGACATAGTATCTATTTCCGCCTATCACCCACAAAGTTCTCGACGATCTCAGATAGGTTCATTGAGTCTTGAGTCTATGCATGTATACAAAATATCAAAGAGTAATAAATATGTATTCAAATCGCCCACGGCTGATGGATAAATTACATCGGATGATCTGAATATGTTTGTTACTCTTTGATGTTTTGTATATATATACAGACTCAATAAATCTATTCGAGATCGCTGGTAACTCGAGAAGAGAGAAAAGAGAGAGTATGTAGTTTCATACTTACTGATAATCCTCCTCCTCTTTCTTCTTCGGTTGATAGCTCTTCACGAGACGTCTGCAACAAAAAAAAAAAAAAAAAGAGGAGAAACGAGATTATTGTTGCTCTTCTCACGGAGATGGAATGATATCGCGGATTATTGCCGGGAAACCTTATACAATTGGCAGGAACTATTAAATAACTCGGAAATGAATCGACCGGAAGCGATTTCTATACTACTGTGTGTTTATAACTTTTTTATTTAGAGTAAATTTTTTTTTTTTCTTAAAGGAAATATTGAGCCATCGATAATTTTTAATGCGATCTAACAATTTACTTTTTTCGCGTCTACAGATAGATAAATAATAATAACTATATTATTATATTTTAATCTCACATGTAATCGCATATCTTATCTACAAGTTTTATATATTTAAAAAAAATGTTGTTTATTGTGTGAAGTAATCTGATAAATGTATATGAAACGATAAATACACAAATATTCATAATTAATAAATCAGTATTTCTAGAATTATATATTTATGATAAGAATATTCTGTAAAGCATATTGCGAGTTTTTTAATCAGGTCACAAAAACAACTCTTAACAACAAGATAATTACAATAAAATATAATAATACGCTCTTGAAGAAATAACTGTCAATTTTACAGTTTTCACACGCTTGATTTCTTTTACGGGGAAAGCTGTTCTTGTATGCGTATTCAGGAATTTACATGGAACATAGAGATCGTTCCGACCCATCGAAGTGCATCAATGATTTAAATCACGAATTGTGAGCGCGTCGCAATAATTGAAGAAATATCAGATCGCGAAAGAGAGAGGGATTATTTTCGATCGCGGCACGAATTAAACGGATCCGGGGGCGTGCCGTTTTAATTTTTACGATACGTCACGTCGAACTATAAATACGCTATCGAGATGAATCTCACACGGCCTTGATGCAACGAAGCTGCGCGAAGAGGATTTCAATGGAAGAAAACGCGAAGAAAACAAAGAAGATACGAGTGCTTTAACTCTTCGCGGATAAAATTGTTTAGAATAATTCATGATAAACTTCTATTATTATATTAATTTAGAAACCGATTCGAATAAACTTTTCCGGCTATTGTCTAGATATTCGTGTCGTTTTACAAACTTTATCCAGATATCCAGATAATGTTCCGTGCGTCGTCCAAGTGTGCCAAGATAAAGATCCGGATGTTGTTCGATGAACTTCTCAAGAATTATTCATGCGTGTAATATTTTTTCAAATATTTTACAAGTACCTGGTGTTGCGGACATTACGTTGCACAGGGTAATTTTCCAATTATTTGACGACCGAGTAATATTTTTCGAGTATGATACGAAGTCGAAGATAATTTTCCCAGAACCGTTCTAGAATATCTGTGTGTGCTGATCACGCAATTTTATACGAAAGTGAATCGAGGGATGAGTTAAGATGTGAAAATTGCAGTGCATTAAGATTAGAGACGCGCACGAGATGATTCATATACAGCGGCGATGATCTCGTCTTGATTAACGTCCTTAATATTTTAAGAATCAACTCGATTCTGAAGAATAATCGTATATATCTTCTCATCAAATATGCAAATTTATAATTGCGGATTTATACGACCCATAATTAATGTAACTATTCTATTGTGACAATAATAATTATATTCTAATATCATTATTATTTTCCTTAAAAAAATGCTTTCCTTAAAAGGAGGCTCATACCTCAAGTAACGTAATGAAAAGTTCTAATTGTACCTTTCTGTAAATTTTTTATTACAAAATGTGGGATTATTAATGACCTAATATTGCACACAGAAACATTTTATTTCGCGCGATGTATATCCGACAATCAATACTGAGGAACCTGCGTTGAAATAATTAAGCGCAATGCAAAATGGAGTAATTAAGAGTCCGGAATGAATGGATTTCGAAACACCCGATAAACAAAAGTGCGCCACAGTGGATGGCATTCACGGAACGGACAAGGGACCTCTTTAATACAATATTACTAGCTATATATCTCGCCTCGTCCCTGAACCCACGGGGTGCGTGAGACACGCTCGTTATACAGGATGTCCCATTGAAATCGCTCGCCTCGAATGTCTCACCCTTTGTCGGGGTACCTCGGGAAAAGAAGCAGTATGCACGAGCACGAACGCGTCGATCTATACGACAGGGTATGACGAGGTGCAAGGTGCACGAAAGCATCGAATAATAATCCTACGCGCACCTGCTATTATAATCATATCTCTTCGTTTCAAATTATTTTCAAAATAAGATATATATTCGTTTCTCTCCTATTCTCTTTTTTAAATTTCTTTTTTCACCTTTTTTTAAATAATATAAAATATATATATATAAGTTTCGTATATTAGCACTAAAATAGTTAAATAACAATCAGTATATTATGTGCATTATGAGTTAGCTTCTCTAAGATAATGAGAAGAATCTATTTATTATTTGTAGTAAAGAAAAAAGGCCGCAAACATAAAATTCGAATAAATTAAAAATTTCTTTTATTTTTCGCAGTTTTTTATCAACCATTTTGATGCAGAATATTCTAAATTTATCTGTGATAAAAAAAATCAAAATTATAGATTATTGAAAGAAAATTCAGAGAGAAATGTGTATATATTAAGGCTATAATAATTCTTAAGCATAAAATATCTTTAACAATGACAGATGAAGTATGCACTCATATTTGCACAGTATATTCGTTGTTTCACAAATATTTAGATATCTTCTAATTTTTCATATCCCTTAATTATTCCGTATCCTTAAATAAAGTGTTGCATTTCTCACCTGAGCTTCGCTGCATATTCGAACTCAATTGCGCAACGATCGCGTATGAAATGGCCATACCTCTCGAGAAACTCTATCCCTTTTTGCGTGTGTAGGGACAGATTCTCGAATTGGTCCTGAAAACACAGAGGAAACAATAAAGATCAATATTTAAAATTACTCTCTCTCTCTCTCTCTCTCTCTCTCTCTATAATGCATGCTAAAAATATTTTATTTATAAAAATATTTAAAATAGAATATATACACATATTTACAATGTTTTAAATGTACTTGAATATTTTAAATACATATCCAAACATAAAATGGTTTATATAAATTATAAAAACTGAATATATATCAAAAAATTTAAGATACTTGAAACAAAATTTTAGTTTAGAGAAATTACAATTAAATAAATTATAAAATATATATTAATAA